AAATGTACAGGATTGTGATATCCTGCCATATGTTCTTTTTTTTTTATTTAGAATATTTTACTATAAAAAATAATAGCTTTTTATCTTCAATAAAATTATAAAAGGAAGGCCATTTAAAGAACTTTAATAATAAATCATTTCTTCGTAATAAATGTATTTTAGAAAGTTATTTTAAGTTTAAAACTCTGCCCAAGGGTTACGACAAGGATATTCCGGAATAAAACAACTTGGGGTGTGAGAGCAGAACATACCTAAATTAATCATTTTATAAACGCAAAAACTTCTATTTTGAAGGACCGTCCGGAACAGCCGACAAAACAGTAAGCATTATAAAGAAGTACCTTGTCATTGGCCGCATTTTTGCCAAATATTTCAGATATAATACAACTTTTTTATTTTATAATTTTGAACAAGAAAAAAAGATATTATGGATGTTTTGAGTTCATGTTTTAAATCTGCAGAAATAATAGATTTAATTTAGTATAGGTGGGACTTTTTAGTTACCTTCTTCCTACTTTAATCAAATTTATTATACATTCAATTTTAATGTAAAGGTATTTCAATGCTTTATTGCTTTCTGTAATGTTGTTTACCACATTTAATTTATTTTGTTATAAATATTAAAATTTATTTCTACCCGTCAAAATACGAAGAAAAAGAACTGTTATCTAATGAATTTAACTGACTAAAAATATCTTCAATGGTTCTAGTTCCATATTTCTAAGCACAAAAAGTAGAAGAAGTTGTGTTATATCTCTCATCGCATCAGCCAAATTTTAAGGCCACATCAAAGTCATTCTTGTCCACAAGAAGTACAACTATATGTTAAAGTTGCTATCTTTGTGGCAAAAAAGGCTAGTCTATTAAAATTATTCATGAATACTATTCTCATTTTGATTAAGCTATTTGGCGTTATGAATTGTGAATTAAATTAAAAAGTCTTTTTAACAAAAATATTGCTTTTCTGGGGTTCGTTGCAGTTGTCACCAAACTTTCTCCAATACCAATAAGATACTTTCCAGCTGTCTGAATGCTTATTTGTAATTATAAATATTAAGTAAAGGGCTATAAATAATTTTCAAGAATATAATGTATCGGTGTGATTGGATAGCCAAAACCATTATATGCACAAGATTAAGGTCGCACGTTAACTCGTTAGAACATGAAACATACAATAACCTCGATATGGGACAAATAATTAAATTAAAATGAGACTACCTCTAATTTTTATGACGTTGTAGAAAAGTCAAGAAAATGGTGTGGAAAAATGAACTAGAAGAGCATCAAAGATTGCTGCCCGACGGAGCTCTCAAATATAGGTAAAAAACATGTTAAAGCGGGCTTTTAAATCAAAACTTGCTAGGTACGTTTAAGTTTTTATCAATTTATTTGTGCAAATTGATAGATGAGTGAAAGACAGAGATTAAATATTTAGTAACACAAATCTTCTTGTATTATGTTGTATAATGAAATTAAATAATATAAAAAATAAATTTAACCACAATTACGTTTAGTTTTTAATTATGTTTTGATATAAACAAAATTCTGTTTTTTTTAACAAATTTAGTTTTAGTTAACAAAGCTATAAAATAAGAGAAGTATCACAAGATGGAGAAAAAACATAAAATTTTTCC